ATTAATCTCACGATAGTGACTTCAAGTTTTTGTAATTAATATTAATATTCCTCTATTTCCAATGTTTTTGATGAAACACATATTTTTTGGATAATTGGTAATTTTATAAAAAAATAAAAAATTACAACCTAAGCGAGACGAACCCGAAACAACACAACCCTAAATAAAAGAGGGACGATGTCCAACAAAAACAAACTCAAAGAAGTCAGGATTTACACCCTTTACACCCCCCACCACACCCCATGAGCACCAAAGTAAAAAGCTAGAGGTGGCTATACAAAGGCTCTTCACACAGCCAAAGAACAGCAGCATGTACAAACAAAGATAGACACTCTGGAAACCCCAAGGGGCTGACCTGACTGTTTAGGAGATTTGTTCAATTTCTTGAGTTTCTGGGCCACCTACCACAACAATATTATGGTTTACCTGATCCTTTAGGCTTGTAGGGTATTCAATGGACCCCAAAGATTATTTGAGGTGAGCGCAAGCTAGTCCAGACACCCTGATTACCAAAACAAAAAGATAGACTCTTTGCTCTATTTTATAATATATGAATCAAAGATTCATATTTACATTACACACCAATCAACAAGTTTTGAGGGATCAATCAAGAGATGATGGTCAAAATTCAAATATCGATAACAGGACCATTTAAATTAATCTTAGGAAATCAGAAAAGGAGAAAAAGATGGAAAAAGAAAATTCAATAATTAGGGTGACCAAATAAATTGGCTCATCCACCAATTACAACTAGACACCCTATTTTATATTATAACCCACCGATGGCTAACTGATGTATAGTTTAAGTAAATTTTTTTTTATGTTGACGTTAATGGATAAACTATGTTTAAGTGTTCATAGATTTAGATGGGATATTATTATTTTTATTATTATTATTATTTCAGGTGTTTGATTTCGTGGGGTATAAAATCTTAATCAGTTAAGAAAAGTATAATTTATATTTAATAATTATAAGTTAATTAAAAATTTATAATAAAAATAAAATTCAACATTTTTTGTATTTTGACTTCCCATCTGCATGCAAGTATGGAGAAAGGCAGACGGTTTAACCATACTTTTCTTGATGTTGTCCCTACACGGCATATGAAATTGAATTAACGCTTAAGATTGAATTGATAAATGAGTTAAAGGTCTGCTTTCCATCTCATAACTACAATCAGTAAATTAAATTAGCTATGTTGAAGCTTGATCGAGCTGAACTGTCATTTATCATATTTATAAAAATGTCTTTGTTCTGCAACTACCATATAGTTGATCCATATTTATTGGCTATGCATTTATTCATATATTACTGTCATTACTTTTCAAAGCATGCACACATGTGGAGACATTATTCTAAACTTTTTTAATTTCCCATTTTATTTCTTTGGGATCTTCAAATTAATTTAAGAGAAAAATTTCGAAAGATAAAAACTAGGGTTTGAAGAAGGTGGGGAGGGTGGAGTCAAAGTAGTTTGTTGAGGAGTTTTGAAGGTGTTTTTGATGTTAAATTAGCTGGGATTGACAAGATAAGAGAGAAATGGATGTTGCTTACATGGGTTTGTTTGGGGAAGATGGAAAGAAAAAGGTATATTATAGTTTTCATATTAAAAATGACATTTGAAGAAACTAATGGATGTTTACCTGTGCAAGTAACTGAAATGCTTTGCATTTACTGTTTGAAAGCTATTTCAAGCCCTTCTATATATATATATATATGCTTCATGCATGCATACATACATACATACATAAATAATGATCTTCATCTTGTTCTTTAACGGTCTATATATTCTCTGTGCAAGAGATGCTCATGATGCCAATGGAAGTTGGTATGTGCATTAATTTCAACACATCATATTTTGACATTAAATACTAACAACAATAATAATACAACTCCTTACGATAACCTAAGCTTCATTCAATGAAAATTGACTTCCAATATTGCTGTTTGGTAGCCAGCTATATACTGAAAATATTAATTACATTTAATTTACAGTAATTTATGAATGTTTATAAATGAAAACCCTTGTCTATATAGAAGTTATATAGCTCTAAAAGCTTATAAAAGATGTGTATGAATATCCCATCCAAGAGCTTTAATTAGTTTATTATAATGGATATTACGTTGTGCATAGAGATTAGTTGATGACTCGAAACATATTTTATGCAATTTTGGGGATTATGTCACTACTTTTGTTATTCAATTCGCACGCTTGCCAAACGTCCTTTTAGCTAATCACTGACTCAATTTCCCATTGGTAAAACCCAACCATTTACATCACAAGTTATATTATGATGTTAATTTCAAATTTTAGCTTGTGATTACATTCAACTAATCAAGAACAAAATTTTACAATATTATGGTGTAACAGGACCATGACATATTCCTTTCCTCAACACAACATATTGGTTTTTTGCCATTAGAAGAAAATCATTAAAATCTTACATGAACATTTCAACTACCAAAGAGATTTAACTTCATAGCTAGCTAGTTCTGTTGAGCTCATTTATCACCTCAACTTGGCCACTTCTTCTTCATCAGAAGATTTTCTATATAAAGTTATCCCCCCTTAGTTACATCCATTATTTAGACAGTCTATCTTTATTTTGAATTTGAATAGGATTAATCTCACGATAGTGACTTCAAGTTTTTGTAATTAATATTAATATTCCTCTATTTCCAATGTTTTTGATGAAACACATATTTTTTGGATAATTGGTAATTTTATAAAAAAATAAAAAATTACAACCTAAGCGAGACGAACCCGAAACAACACAACCCTAAATAAAAGAGGGACGATGTCCAACAAAAACAAACCCAAAGAAGTCAGGATTTACACCCTTTACACCCCCCACCACACCCCATGAGCACCAAAGTAAAAAGCTAGAGGTGGCTATACAAAGGCTCTTCACACAGCCAAAGAACAGCAGCATGTACAAACAAAGATAGACACTCTGGAAACCCCAAGGGGCTGACCTGACTGTTTAGGAGATTTGTTCAATTTCTTGAGTTTCTGGGCCACCTACCACAACAATATTATGGTTTACCTGATCCTTTAGGCTTGTAGGGTATTCAATGGACCCCAAAGATTATTTGAGGTGAGCGCAAGCTAGTCCAGACACCCTGATTACCAAAACAAAAAGATAGACTCTTTGCTCTATTTTATAATATATGAATCAAAGATTCATATTTACATTACACACCAATCAACAAGTTTTGAGGGATCAATCAAGAGATGATGGTCAAAATTCAAATATCGATAACAGGACCATTTAAATTAATCTTAGGAAATCAGAAAAGGAGAAAAAGATGGAAAAAGAAAATTCAATAATTAGGGTGACCAAATAAATTGGCTCATCCACCAATTACAACTAGACACCCTATTTTATATTATAACCCACCGATGGCTAACTGATGTATAGTTTAAGTAAATTTTTTTTTATGTTGACGTTAATGGATAAACTATGTTTAAGTGTTCATAGATTTAGATGGGATATTATTATTTTTATTATTATTGTTATTTCAGGTGTTTGATTTCGTGGGGTATAAAATCTTAATCAGTTAAGAAAAGTATAATTTATATTTAATAATTATAAGTTAATTAATTAATTAAAAATAAAATTCAACATTTTTTGTATTTTGACTTCCCATCTGCATGCAAGTATGGAGAAAGGCAGACGGTTTAACCATACTTTTCTTGATGTTGTCCCTACACGGCATATGAAATTGAATTAACGCTTAAGATTGAATTGATAAATGAGTTAAAGGTCTGCTTTCCATCTCATAACTACAATCAGTAAATTAAATTAGCTATGTTGAAGCTTGATCGAGCTGAACTGTCATTTATCATATTTATAAAAATGTCTTTGTTCTGCAACTACCATATAGTTGATCCATATTTATTGGCTATGCATTTATTCATATATTACTGTCATTACTTTTCAAAGCATGCACACATGTGGAGACATTATTCTAAACTTTTTTAATTTCCCATTTTATTTCTTTGGGATCTTCAAATTAATTTAAGAAGCTTTTCATCATCAGACGTTTCTGTTTAATTGGAAAAACTTTGGCTCAGAGCTAATAAATTAATTAATATCCTTTTCCCTTAATTTGTTAGAAGATGTATAACACCTGAACTTAACCTTTAATTATAGCTAATTAAAGTTAATTGTCTGAAAACAAATTACCCTAACTATATAGCTTAATTAAATTCTCCATATAGCAATTCTGATGATGGTGCATGTGGGTGCTTTAAAGCTTTACACAATTCTAACATTATTTTCTTACTACTTCAGGTTGTGACAACTTTTGAATTTACCAACTCTTTTTGACACTGAAACTATAGCTTATATTATATTTATCTATTCTATTATGCATCAGCCATGCAGTCTTTATTCCATAAGAAGCATATGCACCAAATAGAGCAAAGTTTGATTAATGAAATATTAATTTTCTCTGATACTGACCTCTATTAATTCTTTCTTTTTTATTTACTAACATACATATTTTGATGAGCAAAGTCCAAATTATAGTTAAGAGTTGGGGCAGGTGCCAAGGCAATATTATTGCTACACCAAATTAACCTAAATTAATTTTGCGTACGGAAATTAATCAATTAGTTGGTCCTTAATTAATCCGATTAACACTAATAATAATTAATGAAAGCTAGGTACCTTGTTGATCAAAGGAATTAGGAAGGCAGTAAGCTTTGCAATAGGAGAGCTGTCCCTTCAGTAGAAACCTTGAGGTACCCAAAGCACTATAGTTTGGAGTTAACGTAATTCCAATATGACTTAAAAAGGCAAAGATATATATAGATTGATAAAAAAAACTAAAAATAATATTAAGAATGAATAGTTGGGAACTGAGAATCTGATAAAGAAGTTCGTTCATGGGCCAATTGTATAACAAGAAAGAAAGGTTAGTGGATATACAAATTATATATACATAATACAGGGGTTAATGTGTCGTGTAAAACCAACAAAAGTGACTTCCCATCCACAACCCTAAACCAACCCCACTTTCTTATTCTGTTGGTGCTCATTTTCTTCTTCTTCTATATATCTTCTTGTGGTCTACTTCTCCTTTTGTGTTACTTGATGACAAATAATTCACTGCTCATCATCAGCTGCGCTGGTTGTTTCGATCACGCGCTGCCATGGAAGACTCTGCAGGAGCTGCTTCTAGTGATGATGCCACCAAGACTTGCCCTCGAGGACACTGGAGACCAGCTGAAGATGAAAAGCTCCGCCAACTTGTTGAACAATATGGTGCACAAAACTGGAACTCTATTGCTGAGAAGCTCCAAGGAAGATCAGGTAGATATCTATACATATATACGATCTCGATTTGTCTCTCTTGTTCTTGCCACATCATGACTTGGATTTTGATTCTAATTATTTCAAGACACAAATATTAGGGAGTACAAGAAGTAAGAAATTAAAAAACTAACTTGATTGGTTAATAACTTAATTATTACAATTAAATCAAGTTATTCTTGCTTAATATAAAGGTTCATAGCTTTTTGTTTAAACTGATGATTAAGATGGTATTTTTAAAGATATATTTAGGCTTACATAAATATTTTGGTTTCTTAAATAAAGAAAAAGATATTAATGATCAAATTTCTCTATATATACGAATTCTAAATAATGGGATTGGGTTTTTGTTTATTAATTGCAGGGAAGAGTTGTAGATTAAGGTGGTTTAATCAACTTGACCCCAGAATCAACAGAAGACCATTTACAGAAGAGGAAGAAGAAAGACTACTCGCGGCTCATCGAATTCATGGAAACAAATGGGCACTGATAGCTAGACTATTTCCAGGTAGAACCGATAATGCCGTGAAGAATCATTGGCATGTTATAATGGCGAGAAAGCAAAGAGAACAATCGAAACTATGCGGAAAGAGAAGTTATTCAGACAGTCTTAGCAACTGCAACATCAATTCCGATCATTTTAGTAGTAATCATATTTCAAGAAAATCAAGACCCCAAGACATGTTTATTAGCTCAAGAAATATCGGGTTTGAGAGTGGTAGAATCTTTGAGTTCCGAAACCCCAATTCGGATATTAATAGAACGTTTGCAGTCTCGCCTTCTGTTTCTCAGCTTTCTTGGAGTTTCGCCCCACCAATGGTTGCAACTTCAAACAATATTATTTCATCTTCAGAAGTGGATTTCTCAAGAAGAGAAGGAAGAGATTATTTGACTTCTAGTTCCAATTATAACTATCCGAGTTCTTCAGTTTACGGTAGCAATCGGAGTTCTAGTTCTATATTTGGGCTCACAAACAACAGGAGAATCGTTCCAAGTCCATTTGGTTCTTTTAGAGTTGGTGATCTTGATTATCATGAAAACCAAAGAAAGAAGGAGCTGACTAAATTTTCAGATAACTCATCCATGAAAGTGAGTGCAGTGCAGCAAGCTCAAGGAGATGAATCTATCAAACATGAGAGTGTACCTTTCATAGATTTCCTCGGTGTGGGTATCTCCTCTTGATCACCACAAACATCCATCGGTTTTATTTAACTAATCCTTTCTGTCATATATATTATAGTAGTTTCAATTAGCTTCACTTTTTGGTCTTAAAAAAGACTTATAATGCGAATAGCTATTAATCTTTTCTATATGAAATTTTGTCTTGTTTAATTACTTCCAAATCCTATTATATATTGTCTAATGTTCTATGAAAATTGTAATTAACATTCTAAAATGTGATCGTCTACACTCATTTCAAATCTGTAAGTTTCAGCTTTCTTTTCCGGTTCCGCACTGATATATACATTAAATTAAGAGCATATATACATATATATTCATTAAAGGTGCGTGCGTGGCATTGTGACATCAATATGCAGTAAATGGTCAGCCTCATGAATGTTTTATAAGTAAATGTCTTCTGTGAACAAAGTCCTGTCAGAAGTGTGATCACTCTTGTTTGAAATTTTGTTTCCATGGACAGTCTTAACTCTCAAGTTTTCAGTTGCTTGCTTGGACGCAATAGAAAAAGATCCAATATTAAATATGGGATCGAATTTCTCTTTCATTTTCTCATTGTAAATGTAAAAAAAAATCCAACATGAAAGTCTTATCAATCGAAAGTACTCCACCCATCCGTTTGTTAACAATATTTCTATTTGAATACCTTGAAATGAGCTAATTTCTTTGAATTATTATCCTAATTCTATCGTGCAAGAAACATGGTAATCTCAGTATGTTTGAATCAATGTACACGTTGATAAAATGGGGTAGTCAATTTACCATATAAGAAAATTTAACACTACGTAATTATATTGAACTGTGACAACAATTAATATAAAGAGACTTGTCTTTTGAACCAGACCTACTTCTGGATGGCGTTCTCCATAAATTGATTCACATTCAAGTTCCTGAAATCGAGCACATGATTTTGGAAACTAAATGAAACAAGAAAAGAAATAAAATAAAAAAATCAACTGTTTTGGTGGATGCTATGAGCGCGGTTTGGTTTATCTTGCTCCTGTTAGTATATAAATATAAATACTATAAACCCTAGATTAACTAACTCTCGTTTTCCTTATTAATTTATTATAAATATCGTCTGAGGAGGAACATGGTTTGCATACGAAAGCGAACTCTTCTTCCAGAATTTTATTTTCTCATCTGAGATTCATTGAATCATAGCCACCATGTTTGAATTAAGTTTGTGAATAATTAACTTGTATGACGAGCAATATATATAAATATATATAGTAAACTGACTTTTTTTCACCCAAGGTTTGCCTTAATGATATTTTCCTATCTAAGAAGTTTCAAAATACCACTTTCTCACCCAAAATTAATATTCAGTTACTACTCAAGGTTGATTCTAGCCAATTTTAGCGGCAAAAATTCTCTCTGTTACTACCATTTAAACCTCCGGTCTCATTTCTACAAATCCCTTTTCACTTCAATTAGGGGTGTGTAAAAAAATCCGATATCCGATCCGATCCGAAAAAACTAGATATCCAAAAATTCGGATCGGATCGGATATTGGATTGGCTCTACAAAGAAATCAGATATCCGGATCCAATCCGATTTTTTCCATAACTACAAGTTTTAAGAAGTTATTTTGGGGTCCTAGGTGAAAAGTGGTAAAGTATGTGGACTATTTAGAAATACGACAACAACTTTGGGGTAAAAAGTAATAAAATGATGATGTGGCAGGGGGTAATAAAGAATAATGCAAAATTTTAGGGAATAAATTGATATTTTTCATACAAATTGGGATAAAACCGGATATATGGTTTATTCGATCTGAATATTCGGATCGGATCAAAACTAGATCAGACGAAATCCAGATCAGATTCGGATCAGGTTTCATCCTGATCCGAATTTTCGGATCGGATCAGAAAAATGCAAAATCGAATCGGATATCTGGTTTTGCACACCCCTAACTTCAACACCTGATTTTTTGCCGATTGTCAATCACTGCAAAACTAGGGTTTATTGTTCTTAACTAATTTTTTATTGATTCCGACGGCGAATATTTAATCGGTCATCACCATTTGATCCACTGGTCTCCACTCTATATAAACCCTCTTATCTTGGTTCCTGCTGATAACTCGTCGAACAACAGTTGAGAAAATGAAATGTATTTTGAGCATTAACGGAATATAAACATTGGGTGTTTACTCTCTCTCTCTCTCTCTCTCTCTCTCTCTCTCTCTCTCTCTCTCTATATATATATATANTGGTTTATCTTGCTCCTGTTAATATATAAATATAAATACTATAAACCCTAGATTAACTAACTCTCGTTTTCCTTATTAATTTATTATTTTTTATTATAAATATCGTCTGAGGACGAACATGGTTTGCATACGAAAGCGAACTCTTCTTCCAGAATTTTATTTTCTCATCTGAGATTCATTGAATCATAGCCACCATGTTTGAATTAAGTCTGTGAATAATTAACTTGTATGACGGGCAATATATATAGTAAACTGACTTTTTTTCACCCAAGGTTTGCCTTAATGATATTTTCCTATCTAAGAAGTTTTAAAATATCACTTTCTCACCTAAAGTTAATATTCAGTTACTACTTAAGGTTGATTCTAGCCAATTTTAGCGGCAAAAATTCTCCTTATTACTATGATCCGATTTTGTCCATAACTACAAGTTTTAAGAAGATCATTTGGGGTCCTAGGTGAAAAGTGGTAAAGTATGTGGACTATTTATAAATATGATGACAACTTTGGGGGTCAAAATGTAATAAAATGATGATGTGGTAGGGGGTAATAAAGAATAATGCAAAATTTTAGGAGATAAATTGATATTTTTCATACAAATTAGGATAAAACCGGATATCTGGTTTATTCGATCCGAATATTTGGATCGGATCAAAACCAGATCAGACGAAATCTGTATCAGATTCGGATCAGGTTTCATCCAGATCCGAATTTTTGGATCGGATCAAAAAAATGCAAAACTGGATCGGATATCTGGTTTTGCACACCCCTAACTTCAACACCTGATTTTTTGCCGATTGTCAATCACCGCAAAACTAGGGTTTATTATGCTTAACTAATTTTTTATTGATTCTGACGGCGAATATTTAATCGGTCATCACCATTTGATCCACTGGTCTCCACTCTACATAAACCCTCTTATCCTGATTCCTACTGGTAACTCGCCGAACACCAATTGAGAAAATAAAATGTATTTTGAGCATTAACGGAATATAAACATCGGGTGTTCTCTCTCTCTCTCTCTTCTCTCTCTCTCTCTCTATATATATATATATATATATATATATATATATATATATGTTCAATTAGTTAAAATGTTTTCAAATTAAAATATAATGAGTTTTTGACATTTGGTAAAACGGACCTGGCTACCAACCTACCTGAAACGTTAACCTTTCTTGTCATCAACATTTATAATATGTGATTAATTTCAATTAAATTATTAATTAAATCACGTATATTAATTAAGTTGCTTGTACCCTTGTACACTTCATCAAACAATCCATTCATCATATGACTATGTATTTAGATCTCATGGTATTTATATTTAATTTATGGATTAAAATGCTGTATCTTATAGTTAAAAAAAAAAAAATATATATATATATATAAATTAATCTAGTTCAACTAAATATTAAAAAATGTTTAAACAGTCGCAAAAATTAACATGGTGCTTCATTTCATTTTGTTCTTATCCAAAACGACAAAATCTAGATAAAATAAAAGTGCTTACACAGCACGCACGTGCCCTCATGGCGCGTAATCTCCCATCCGTCTTCCAGTTTAAAGTCACAAACCCCCTACAAAACCTCGACTATTTTCCGTTGCTCACTCGCTAATCCCAATGACAATGATGATGCCACTCAAACCTACTTCACTTCACTATAACTTAAGCGCACCGTCCTCCAATTTTCCGTCAAACATCATCAGTCATGGAAGCAACACCAAGTCAGCTTATCCAACGGTGAGAATGCAGACGCGCGTACATCGTCTGATCGAGGATCAAGGGATTGTATTGATGCCAGGTTGTTACGATGCGCTTTCCGCCGCTATTGTGGAGAAATCAGGTTCCACGCCGGTTTTATCTCCGGCTACGCTCTCTCCGCCTCTCTCCTCAGCAAACCCGACTTTGGCTTGCTAACGTGCACTTGTTTTTATTTTTATTTTCTATTTTACTGTATTTATTTTTTCAAAATTGAAAATTAAATTCGTGTATTTTGGTGTTTAGACCTCCAGAAATGGCAGTGACGGCGAGGTCGATGTGTGCAGCTGCTCTGATGATCCCGATTATTGCTGATGCTGGTAAATTTTGAAAAATTTATCGTCTTTGTTACTGTTATTATGTTTTGTTTTACATTGCTTCTTAGTGTGAAAAATTAGGATTATTTAATTTGATGGTAGTCGATTTGATTATGCCCTGTGGAAGCATTGATGCCTAATCTGTGTTATGGAAGGATCTTGGCTTAATGAGTTTGGGAAGGACAAGAATGTAGCTACATTTGATTTATTGAAATGTATATTCATGTGTTGGAAATTGCACATTGCTAATGATGAGAATATATAAATATAAACATGAAGCTCAAACTGTTTTAGAAAGAATGAGAATCTTATTGCACTGATATGGTAAACGTGCATCAGTTTATCAATAATTGGATTGATGCATGATAAGCTAAGAGTATACCTTAACCTGTGTCACTAGGAAAACCTTTTATATTTGTTGATGAGCCCATGGATTATTGTGGTTGATGTATATGGAAGTGTGTTTTCCACATTTGGTTCAAGTATCAGCTGATTAGTGTAAGAGGTTTTGATGGACAGAAGTATAAGCTGAGACTTGGATGGCTATACTTATAACTATTGCCTATGTTGGAAGGCACCTTGAAGACTTCACTGGTTTTATTATTTTTTTGCTTCATATACTCGTGGTGGCAAAGCTCTCAATGTTCAGAGGACCATCAAGGACTTGATTGGAGCTGATGCTGTTGGTTGCTTTCTTGAGGTACTGCTCTGCTATTTGGTATCAGTCCTTGGTGTCCAAAATAACCTTTATTATTGAAGATGAGCATTTTTCATGGCTATGTTTTTACTAGTGAATGTTTTGTATAGTCTTACCCTTGTGGGAGGAATAATTTTATTCCCAATGTATAGCCCGA